CAAAATAGTCAAAAAGAAGAAATAACAAAGCATAGGGGAGATTGTTAGATCAGACTTCTCCAACTTTATTGTTCCTGAAGATCACAGGGGGAGCTTGTAAAATGCAGACTTGGATTCAGTACCTGGGGAGTGTGGCCTGAGATTCTGGGTTTCTAGCAAGTTCTTGGGACCATCCAGTAAATCATAACATTCTAGGTAAAACAGACCTAATCCTTAGACATAATGCAGTGTGTGACCCTAGACAGGTGTCTACATACCCAAGCAATACAAAATGAAGTGGCTACGGAAGACATTTTTGGACAAGTGAAGAGATTGGAACATGGGCCATAAGCTTTTCTTACTATGGGATACAACTGAATTAATGCGAACTCTCTTGGCTATGGTACAGGCTTGTGCTAAGCAGCAGAGAGGTGCCAAAGTACTTGTGTCTGAAAGGTTCCACACTCCGTACCTCGCTTTCACATCCTCACATGGAGAGCGCAACTGTGTCAGCACAAGCACACTTGCTAACCACCGAAAGGTTGAGCAATTGCTTCCTATTTTATTTGTGTATATTTTCAAAATAAACTTTGGGCCTAAGATGTAATCTTTCTAACTCTTGCAGGCTTAGTGAAGACACTCCTGTGTCTTCAGATCCCCACAGCTTGGCCCAGGGCTTGCTCTTGAGAACATTCTTAGAGGATTTTAAGACAATTGTCAGATGGAAGGGAAGAGAAGTTACTTAGGTCGAGGGAAGTGTTGTGGGGTGGGGCAGGCCATCCCTATGTAGTGTCTGAGAACAAATAACCCAGAAGACAGTGCTCCCATTGCCCACAACCACTGCTCTCAGAGTCACTGCTGGTGAGAGGTAGATGGTGCTGTGGGAGTACTTTTTTCTTTTTTCTTTTTGCTTACAAAAAAGAGCATAATTCTCTTTGCTTACAAAAAAGAAAGAGGCAGCTGCTTTCTCTTTCATTCTGGAAACATCTACAGTGCTTGGAAGCAGAGCTATCCAGAGAGCTCTTGCTCTGACCTTTTGGAATGTGCCTGTATTGTCTCTCCTGGGCTGGCTAAGGGTAGCACCAACTTTAGGAAACAAGCAGTCTCTAAGGTTGAGGACCTCATGGTACCTGTAAACGCAAGCACCAATCTCTGATGTAAACCAGGAGCCAGTCTCATCGGGTATTCCTTCTTCTTCTAAGGAGATGCGAGAAGCTAAATTTTTCTATTTCACTTTGCTACATAAATCCTGTGCAATCCTACCTGGACTCTGTAGTCTTTCTGAAGCTGCCTGGTTGCTGTAGGCCCTTAAGCACTAACTCGGGAATAAATAAAGTTTCTTTCCATATTGATGTGACAGTGTGTCTCTTTGTGGCAGGATTTTGGTTCCTCACGAGGACACTGCTATAATTTCTTTGAAGGCTGATTGACATGTATTGAGGTGAAAACAAACTTTCTATTTCCATTGTTAAGAATTCATCCTACAAATATACTTGGGACACACCCAGAAGGCAAAAATCCTAGAGAAAAACATAAGGGTCTTGCACTAGGTACACATTTAATAGAATTTGAAGTATTGGTACAATGGAATGTTATGTGACTCTTCAACAACTTTCAACGGACTTCTCCACATCGACACAGAAAGATCTTTAGGACACATAAAGCAAAGGATAAAATTGTGGGCTCATTAGATGACATGTGTATTAGCTATTTGTAGAGTCTCAGATTTTAAGAAAGATGGATGAGAATCTGTTCATGGTAATTTCAACAAAGAGGGATTGGTGGCTAGGGAAAATGTAAGAGATTTTTACTTTTTTCCCTTTTATCCTTATTTTTCAGTACTTTTCTTAATGTAAATGTAATCTTGATAAGACTATACAGATTGAAATACAAATAAAAGTACAATAACCACAAAGACCTTGAATGTGTCACCCAAAGGAAGCTCTCTAAACAGTGCCCAAGCAGGACTGCTGGTTTTCTTGACTATCTACCCAATGCATAGAATGATGTCTTGTCTGTAATAGATACTCAATAAATACTTGGGATCAAAGCCTCCTTCGTCTCTCCTGTGAAGTTTGCCCTTGGAGTTGTTTTACCTTTTAGCCAGACCTTGAGGCAGTCTCATGATGGCCCAACACACTCTACTTCTCCTCCAGCCCTTTGCTGTTAGCAGGGCTCTGACTTCCCTTTCCCACCCAGTAGAAGTTGCTCATGAGTCTTGAGCCAACCCGAGAAACCCCAGTCTCCAGAGGGTCCTTAAACCGGTTGGCAAAGCCCTCTCTCTCCCTAGCTGATGTTCTTGTCGCCCTCTTTGCCTACTTTGCACCGCTTCTTTCTTTCTTTCTTTCTTTCTTTCTTTCTTTCTTTCTTTCTTTCTTTCTTTCTTTCTTTCTTTCTTTCTTTCTTTCTTTCTTTTTTGCAGAACCGGGGATTGAACTCAGATCCTTGCGTTTGCCAGTCAAGCGCTTATCCTACCGAGCCATCTCCCCGGGCCCTTTGCACCGCTTCTTACATCGCCATGGTTTGGCTATGTAAAATCTTGTCAATAGATGTGACCTTTCACCAAAAACTGTGGGCCTTCTTCTAGCAGTAAAACCATCCTCATGACTTGCCGCCCTGCCATTGTCACATCCCAGAGGAGCTACATGGCTCTCAGCCCTTCCCAGTTTTAATAAGGGAGGTGAGCCTAAGCCTCCTGAGTTTCTCCCGTGAATTTCTCGTCCTGAGATCCTGGTGAACCTCTTTGCTGCCTGCGTTCCATGGGCCATAAAGTCAGTCTATGTTCCTTCTTACCAAGTGCTTCCTTGACAGCACAAGCTATAGGGATCACATGCTTCTAATCCTAAACACAGTTAATATAAAATAAACTTTTTACAAGAAATTGTATGTGTGAAAAATTTGACACATAATATCACAACTACTACTAGTATTTCAAGCCATAGATTGGGAACAAGTAACTGAGATTTCTGAAGCTAAAAAAAAAAAAAAAAAAAAAATCCCAGAACTACCAGGAAGGATGGTGCATGCCTAAAATTCTAGTGTTCTGTGAGGCAGAGGTAAGAGAGTTGCAAGTTTAAGGTCAGACTTGGCAAGTTAGTGACTCAGTGAGACCTTGTTTTAAAATTTTTAAAAGGGGCTCAATGCCCAGTCACATGTGAAAGAGAAAGAAAAATAAATTACAGCACACCAAATGGTAGACTCAGATTGTGACGAGCATGTTTTCAGACCTAAGCTTGAAGGGTGCATCAAGGAAACAGATGCACAAGAAGGTAAGCTTCTAAGAGCACAGTGGGGACAGAGCTCCTTGATACTTCTGGTGCTGTCAATACCAGCAAAGGAACAGGTATTCTCATGAAGAAACCAAGCAGTCTTGGTACTGGCACTTTCGTGGGGTGGTCTGGTTCAAGTCCATTCCCTCTTTATTCCCCATTTTCTGTATTCATAAGAATAAGGCAGAAAGATCTGCTCTAGCTCTCTCATAGAAGGAATCAGTTTGACCCTCGGTTGGACTTGAGTGAGGGTCACTTGGGAGTTTGCAGTAGCTCATCATTGTCCTTTCCCACCAGCTCCCCCCTTCCCCACCACCCCGTGAAGTTCTGCCTGCATCTTCCACCCACAGAGTGCCTCCAAGGTCACTTCATTTCCTTTTCTGTGGCTAACATCTACTTCACCCCAAATTTCAGTCACAGAACTTACAGCCTGTACTGAAGGAAAGGTGTCCTAGGATGTTTCTAGAACATCATCATTATTATACGGGGATGAGTCCATGAAATGAGAAGCTCTACGATTTCCTCTATCCAAATCAAATGTTCTCGACCTCCTTTTGTAACTTATACTGAGACATGAACTTCAAAGCTTCATTTAAATTTCAAAGTTTAAAGACATTTGGGAAGTAGATATCAAAGCCTTTTAATGCTTACCTCTTTTTAAGAAGAGTTATAAAGCCTTTAGCGTGAGACAACTGAAGAAAAACCAGAGCAAATTCTACAGGATTATAACACTGTAACAAGTGACAAGTGAGAGTCATAAAGAGGAGCACTCTCACTTTGGCAGGATATGTCTGGGTACAGTTCTTACACTATCCAGATTAGCAAAAATTTTGCAAAACAAATGAACCGCTTATACTGTTGTGCAATGTTTCCTTATTCACATACACTAATGGTTTCTCTGTTAACACCAATTTTCTAAAATATGTAGAAGCTTTCTCTTTCATCTCTTCTATTTCCAGAAACAAATCTTACTCCTTACTTCAAATAAACTAAACCTCTCAACACTTTGACATTGCACAACCTGTACCCCACAATTGCTAATATTCTGAGGTGTCTCCGAGGGAACAGGTGTCAAAAACATTTCTTTTTCTTCTCATCTCTTCTGTTTCTTGTGATGCCCTGTGCTCCTCAGAGCAGTGGCTTGTGAGGAAGCTTTTGATTTCTTTTGTGGGTTTTAACACTGAAACACTCAAAGATTAGAGAAACCCTAGCTTTATCTCCTGCCGTTGTTCCTGCCAGACACTGGCTTCAGAAATTAGCTCTTTGTTAAATATGAACAAACACAACAGCATTAAAAAAAAAGAGAAAAAGCTCTTGGAAATGAGCGAGGCATCAGGAAACTTGGGAACACTGGACCAAAGCTACAAACCTCTGAAATCTCCTCTGAGGACCTTAAAGACGCAATACCAAGTTTTATAAACAAACTGTCTGGTTTACCCCGTGCTTCCTTCTTTGGTAGAGCGGGGCTCTGGCTCAGCTGGATTTAAATCATAAATTTTCCAGGTCAGTAGCTTCCCCCCATTTTTTTTTTTTTTTTTGGTTCATGTAGGCTTGGAAAATTTTGAGATGATGGTCCAATAATTTTTCTCTCAAAAATCCAAGTTATTTCAGGGAGTGACGGCCCTGTTTCTTTCATTTATTTTTCTTTATCTTTACTTTTTGCTCCCAACCAGCAATTTGTTTCCTGAGCCTTTCTCTGGAGGAAGTGGAACTTAAATCAGAAAGGGAAACCAACCAGGTCAATCCACTCACCGTCCTCTGAACCACCAGGACCATAATGGTTGCCACCGTGAAGACGAGACACAGAGCCAGTGTGGCGGTGGTGAAGCAGAAGTAGCTGCGGCTGGTGCCTCCCAAGTGGCTGGCCACGGAGCCAGGAGGCACATGCATGGCTGGGTCTGGGCAGGGGGTCCCCGGGCTGCGTGCGTGCTGCAGCCCTGGGTCCATGCTTTATATAGTCTTCCCTGCATCACACCTTATCTCCCCTCATCGTCGGTTCTGGGCCCATCTCTGTTCCAAGAAGGATTTTCCCCCTGCATCCTGGATCATGTGACTTGGAAAAAACTCTTCACCGGCTGTCTGGCGGACAAACTCTTCTCTGGGGGCGTGAGACACAGGGCAGCGGCAGCAAGGGTGGGGGAGAAGTTCATTTTGCATCGCCCAGGATTATTTTGAGAGCAGAGAAACTGTAGCTAAAGAGAAGGTGACTGATGTCAGAGGATGTGTAGAAAAATGCCAGTTCCTCTCTCTCTCTCTCTCTCTCTCTCTCTCTCTCTCTCTCTCTCTCTCTCTCTCTCTGTACAAAGTAACTTCTGTTTCTTTCAGAATCAGCCAGAAACGCCTCGCTGAGAGACTTCCCCGACTTTGGCATAGCCCCTGGCTCAGAAGAACTCGCAGACACAATCTCTTGCTGGATCCGGGAAGGCTGATTTTCTTGGACAGCGGCAGTGTGACCACAGGCTCAGTTTCCTAGCATACGCACCTTCAGAGACCTGGAAATACCACCCACTCTCTGAGGAAGAGGAGCCCACATGGAGATTCATCCAATAGGCAGAAGCTCATTCACAGCCACAGAAAACCTGGGGACAGGTCAGAGAGCCCGGGAGAGAACAGAAATCTGGAAAATTTGAGCTTTTGAACAAAAATTCTGGCTGGGTATTTGGGGATCATTTAAAAGGGCAGATGACCTTAGGACTTCCATAAAGCTCATAAAAGGGAAAGGAATTAGTGGGGAGAGGAGAGGTGGGGCTCTGTGATGTGGACAGAGGGTGGGGGTGTCCTACAGAGTGTGCCATGGGGGTGTGGAGAGTGCGTGGTGTGACTAACTGACCCTCTGTGTGCTCAGGCACAGCCCCGGGAGCTCTGCTTCTGGCCTCTTCACAGCCTCCCCTCTTCCCTCTGAGCAGTGGGCATTTCTTCTGTGAAGACGGGAAAATTGAGGCTCAACAAGGATGAAAACATTGTTAATAAAAGTTGCAAATGTTGCCAGGGAGACAGCTCAGCGGCATAAGTGCCTGCCTGCCAAGATCAAGGTCCTGAGTTCAATCCCTGGTACCAAAAAGAAACAACTCTATTGACTGAAATTTTAAAGAAATAAATGTATATTATCCTTTAAAAAAATGAGAGAGAGAACCTGGCTGCATGTTTAAGCCCACCTGACCCCAAAGCCCACACCAAATTGTCTAAACTTCTCACACTTGAGGACTGTGTGGCTGAGGGTCTGTGTCAGCCTTTCCCCCTTTCAGCTCTGCATCCTTGTCTCAGTCCAGGGGCCCCTGTTTTCTCTGCATCATGACCATCACAGAATCAACCCAGATGACGTAAGAGCACTTCGTGAATGGGAATAGGCTTGGCAGATGGTGTTGGACAATTCCTGTTAAACATCCCAAGTAGTCCCCTGGGCCATGTCTGGAATGTAGATAAATACATTGCCTAGGACACGGAGCTGAGTCATGTTTGTAGTTACTAGTGATCTATATGTCAGAATGACATTTATAATATTAATTACTGCACAGCAGCTGCTTCCAGATGTGGCCCTTGGAAAGCTTTATTTGCTGTCACCGTTGGCGTGGCCTTTCTGGGTTTTAACTGGTTCCCCTCTGCTCACTTTTTACTGAGAGCCAGAGCACACTAAAGAAATGTCCCATGTCCAAAGCCAAGTGTGGTGTATCACCACTGCACCATTGCATAGATGTCTAACTCCTGGTGTCCCCTGAGTTAGTTTTAACTTAGGGATTGGTTAGGTATCCTTCCTTGTGAGCCTATTGAATCACAAATCCTGATTTGATGAACTGATAAGTTGTTTCCTTGGGCCTAGTAGAGTGGTAGGCAGTATGTCCATCTTATAGTCCGGGAAGCTAAGGTCTCCTTGGTCCTGAGTTGAGCTCAGTTTTGGGAGACCCGTGTGTGTGTGCACATTCACTTGGTCCGCTCCTGGAGGTGGGAATGAGGCACTCCAGTGTTTTCGGGGTACAGAGCTGATCCAGGGAGAAGACTGTGTACTCTGGTGGGTATGGGCGGTGAGTGGGTGGCAGGGCCTCTTTGCCCGCTTGAGGCTGCTGAGAACAGGCTGCGCCCCTGGCCTTCTCTGTGCAGCCCCTTTGATCAGAGTGGAAAGCTTCTGATTGCTGAATGGAAGCTGTGGGTGTTGAAAAATAAAGAGGTTCTGCTTGAAGCTCAGGTCTTCCTGGAGGGCTGCGGGGCTGAGAAGGGCAATGGAAAAAGTGTTTGTCTTACAGTTACTCGCTTTGCATACTGTACAATGTCCCAGGAGAGAAGGCTGACAAGGGGAAAAATACCCCCCCCCTTTTCTGAACCTTCTGAACAGTTGAGATTTCCAGATTGGTCTCTACCATTTTGGGGCCCCAATATCACTCTACTCATAAGCCTTACATGGCTCCTTGTTTCCCATCCCCATTATTCTGAACACCCCTGTGCTCCCCAGTTGTCCTAGAACTGGCCAGCCAATCTGAACTTCATAGCCCAACCTATGTGTGGACAAAAGGAACCTTTACAGAGCTCCTTGTTGAGTGATTTTCAAATCCTTTCTGGAAATAAAACTGTAGGGAGCATGAAAATGTAAGAAAGCAGAACTTATCTGTCGATAGCCAAGACGGGGTACAAAGGACTGAGCCCAACCTGGTCCTTCACCCTTTTGGGTCCTGAAATCTCTCCACGATGAACAAAATTTAGAATGCTGTGATTTTTGCCCAAACTCCTCATGTCTGGAATCAGGAAACAGAGACACAAGTGGATATGACCCTGAGGAGCTCATCCTGGGAGTGGCAGAGACAGATTGGGTAGTCCATCAGCCCATTCTCAGGCCTGCTTTGCTCATATTTCAGATCCACAGGCCACCTTGCACTTTTACTCACCTTGGCACCCATCAGCCCCTCCAATCTATGTCAGCTTCTCCAGGAAGGCTGCCCAGGTCACTCCAGTCCAGCCACACACTGCGAGGAGCCTCTGCATAGAAGGCCTCATTAACCCAATGACCTAATTATCTCAGCATACGGCTGTCAAGAGTGTGAACACAGGGGAATCTCATCTTTCCAATGCCATCTAGGCTTCCCGGGGCAGCCCGCTCTTTCTCAGTCATCTTCTTGCCCATTACCCTGCCCATTGTGCCACAGTTGGTGCACGGCTGGCCCTCACTTAGCTCTTGGGTTAACTTAGTATGCATGGAAACAGACATCCTACCAGGGTGACTGCTTTATTCATTTCCTCATCCCTGAGATACAGTACCAGGTACCCATAATTTAAAGGAGGAGAGGTTTATTTTGACCCAATTTCAGTCCAAGATTACCAGCTCCAAGAAGACCCAGGATGAGGATAAAGGGCATAGTGGGGGAATGTGGCTCTCCCCATGGCAGCCAGCAAGCAGCAAGGAAAGGAAAGGCTGGGGAGAAAGCTACGCTCTCGCAGGTCATGCCTTGGTGACCCCTCTTCTGACCGGACTCCACTTCCTGGAACCAAGCCTGATGGGGTGCCTCCCTAATCCAGTCACCTTCCACAGGCCCATGGGACCTGGGACCAGTCAGATAAGAGCCATACCATGACTTATATCAACACATCATATGCTGGTACTTTTGCCGCTCATTTCCCCACTGCTCCGCAATTCCGCAGCCTTCACCACGTGGCTATCTGGCTGCCCACCCATCCTCTAAGTCCCAGCATGCCCCTGGGAGATTGACCACTGGCCTCCTTCCACCCTGTAATGAGCTGTTGAGATGTGGCTCTGGTAGCCGGCATCTGGCAGGCAAACCAAGTCTATCTTCTCTACAAGAGGAAATACTGTCTGAGAAAATGGAGAGGATCCAGCTGTTGCCTCCCTTTTCATTGTGTCTGCAAGTGAGGTTTCTACCAGTGATTCCTAAAGTGTGGTCCCCAGCCCAGTAGCACTGGTGTCAGCACCCCTGGGGACATGGGAGAACTCAAAGCCTTCCTATGACTCCAGAATCAGACACCCAGGCTGAGGCCCAGCCATCTGCGCTTTGGAAGCGCCGCAGTAGATTCTGAAATTACTTGAAAACACAGGTTCTAGAAATACCATGTATCGTTTTCAGAAAGAACCTCTAAGGCCTTCTGATCTAGATTCTGGCCTTTGGGCAGGCAGAGTGCTGCCCTCGTGTTATAGGTAGGAAGAGTAAGACACAATAAAGTCATGTCCTGGGGTCACATGGCTGGGTAATGTGGGTGTGGATTAAGCCATCTTCTCAACCTCAGTTATGTCCATAGGCTCTGAAAGTGCTTATGCAGATGAGAATATATTGGGAATTAAGTTGAACTACATTTATGCATCTAAACTTCTTTTATAATGATCACTGTATGATGTATAGTTTTTAAAGTGTTGGTATATCTGCAAGGACAGACTCGTCTGGGGTGTGCTCATGCAACAAAACAAGCAACTAAATGGCCCTTGGAGAAGCGAGGGTCCTGGCTCCCTCACTAAGAGCCCTCAGGTTGGCTGGGCCTACACTGATGAAACTGGACATTGGCAGCGAGCCACGCTGACACTGCAGTGAGACAGGGAAGGTCTGAGACAGGGTCAGGGACTACAGTCCGCAGGCCAGGCATGGCACCTATTCTTTCAAATGATTCTTTATGGAAGCACCAGAAAGAACATTTGTCTATGCTTGTTCTAGGGCAGAGATGAGTAGTTGTAGCAGAGACTTTATAGACTGCAATGTCAAAAATATTTACTATTAGGGCTGGTGAGATAGCTCAGTGAAATAAGTGCCTGCATAGGCAATTGCAGGGGCCAGGGTTAGAGCCCTGGCACTGCATCCTGCACCAGCCCTGCCTCCAGGGTGCACTGAGCCAGCCACCGAGACCAGGTGTGGTGGCGCATGCCTGTAATCCCAGCACTGGGGAAGCTGAAAACAGGAGGATCACTATGAGTTTGGGCTGCATAGCAAAACCCTGCACAACACACACACACACACACACACACACACACACACACACACGCACACACATACAAATAGAAAAAAAATTACTGATAACTTTCTTATAGCTGTATTAAAATAAATTCAAGGTAAGATTATGAAAAAGATTTGGGGAAAATAACAGAAGTATGTTTCTTAAGACACCTCTATAAAATTTTCATTAATGTATACATTGCTAACTCATGCTTTCCTG